ACCCACCAGAAGCTTTGGAAGGGTTGCCACCCAGTGACTGGTATCATACGCTTTTAAGGCAGCTTTCAGCGGACGGGGAAACTCCTCTAGAAGTCCATTCGCCTGTGGGTGGTACAGAGACGTTCTGATCCTCTTGATTCCCAAAAATTGGGAAAGGGCTCGAAATAAGTCACTTTCAAATTGTTGCCCTGGTCAGTAGTAATAATAGCCGGACAACCAAATCGAGTAATTCAGTGGTCGTAGAAAGCCTGTGCTGCTGTGCATGCAGTTATGTCTAGTATGGGTACAGCTTCGGGCCATCTAGTAAACCTATCTATCATAGTTAGACAGTAATAATTAATATGAGAAGGAGGTAGCGGACCAACGAGGTCACGGGGGACGTGATCAAATCTCTGATTTGGTTTGGAAACTTCATTAACGGGATTATAATATGTCTGTTTACTTTTGCTTTCTGGCATGGAATGCATTGCTGTGCCCATTTTGCACAATCTTTACGGATGGAAAACCAAGCAAACCGAGAACATATTAATTTTGTTGATGCCAGAATGAGACAAATTGTGCAATGTGGCAAAAACTTTCTCACGGAATGCCGGGGGAATGTAAGGGCGGGCTGCACTTGGTAACAAACCGCAATACATCGGTAAGCTACAATTCGGTAATGTAACTTTTCTGAGTTGTAGAACTTTTTAATCTTTAAGTAAAGTTTGTAATTCTGGATCGTTTTGTTGCATTTTAGAAATTTCCTTATAGTCAATAAGGTTAGGCATGCTTATCGCTTCTATGCGAGAAAGTGCGTCCGCAGAGATATTCTCCGAACCTTTGCTTAAAATGACTAATAGCAGCATAAGCTGCCAATAGCTCCCGATCATAAGCGCTTTCTTTTTGCTTGCAAAAGCTTTCGTCAGAAAAATGCGAGAGGCTGCAAATTTCCATTAACTATTTGTGTGTGTGTGATTATGGCAAAGCCTCGAGGGCTATCTGCCTAAGAGGAGGGATGCCTTCGTGGAGGACTTTCTAAGGGAAACTGACTCGTATATACTAACTATTTGTGATAGCGCTCCGCCGATCGCGAAGTCTGACGCATCGACCTGTAAAACTAACTGAACAACTGCTGTTTCAGAACAGTTTCTTCAGACAAGCTTTTTGTTTTATCTGGCATTTTCCCTCTGTCTATATTTTATATATTTTATTTGGAAAAATTTCTTTTAAGAACCCTTAGAAATGTTTTTATTTTATATAATGACATCCTAGTTACCAAACATATGTTTGAAAAAAAATTCAAAGTTTTATTGCCATCCACTTGCAAACTTTATATTTCATTTAGATAAAAAAAAAAAAAAAAAAAATTCCTTCTGTTGGTGTAATTGACATATACAGTAAATCCTGGAATTGATGGGAAGTATGGTGCAGCCTTCTGTGCTTTTTTATTATGAAGTCGAAATTGATAGTAGTAGATGTTTTAAACTTAAATATGTACAATTCCGTTTTTCAATCAGAATGCTACAAGCCTTGAAATGAATTAAAAATCAAAGTGCAGAACTGAAATAGATATTTATTCTGATTGTTTATCACTTCTTATGTTACTGGCTGCTCCTATTACAAAAAATTATTTGGTTTTAAATATTAAAGATATTTTGAAATCCCTGCAGAAAGATTTTTGCATTAGAATGTTTCTTTCATGCGAAAGTGTCCCTTTTTCGATTTGTATGGAACTGTCGTGTGTCGAAATACTATCAGAATACTGTAAAGTGAGCTTCTGAATGTAAACAAAGAACACCCCATCTAGTGACCGAAGCTTCGAAGCAGTGCTTCACTTCTAGTGCCGGTTGGCTACTCCTTCCTTCCTTATCTCCATAATACTGATCAATGGAGAAAGGGATGAGAACGGTCTGACCGAAATCAATGTTTAGTTCAAAATATTAAAATTTCCTTGAAAATGGATATATACAAATGATATTGAGAAAAGTTTATAATCCTTTAAAATTCAACATAAGCTCTTTATTACTTAAAGGAAAACTCCTGGGTGATTAATCAATCACAGATCAATGTAAATGTTAAAAAAAAAAAAAAAAAAAGCTCCAGGAAGAAAAATTAAAGAATTCATTAATGATTCTTATCCATAACGGGGATAAAAGGAATTTCAGCCTAGTAAAATAAATACATTAGCGAAAAGAATTGAAACACAAATGTAAAAGCTTGTCTTTCTTTTTTTGCTTGAATGTGATAGAATTTTAGTAAATTTTTTCCCCTTGTAGTCAGAGCGTTTTGTTTCATATTTTCATGTCACTTTTGTTTTAATAATATTTATCTTTCAAGTCTTTTACAATTTATAAATGAACGTATGTTTACCTTTGAATGCTTTGTAGGCTGGAATCCATCTTGTTTCTTGCAGTTCCAAATCCATTTGTTTCTCAATCCTCCTGTAGGCAAATTAAATATGGCACCTTCAGATCATTCTTACAATTTTCTTTGCATGTTGCAAGACGGCACTTGGGAGGTATAATAAAAAAGCAAATAAAGGAATTAAAATATTATTTTACAGTAGACTGTTCTTTCAAACAACAGTCCATTCACTACATTACAAGACCACGAGAAAGGTGTTGAAAAACAACATACTTGACGTCTGAGCATTCAAGTAACCCTAGTGCCTTTGAATTGCTTAAAGGAGGTACTGCTATAGGTTGTCTCTAAGTTTATGACATTTTAGAAGTTATACAGAAGAATTTTTTCCTTAATTACAATATGCTTTCATGGGGTAATTGGAAGCACATCCAGCTAGCATGAAGGAGGTCTGGAGTTTGAACTGCTGAACGCATTGTTGATTTTTCACGCTTCCTTCCCGAAATGAATCTAATGACTTTATAAGTGAAATCCAAATTAAAATGTGGTATACTTATTTTACTAGCATGAGAATTTGGCAACTGCATTTCACTCCTGCCCAGTCAACCTTCAAATGAGATAGAATATAAGGAATTTTCTTCTTTCTTACTGTGTGCTTTTGTAGTGTAGTTGAAAGCACATATGACCAGCTACTGGGAAGTTTGGGAAGGGCAATGCTGATTTTTAATGTTTTCTACTCCAAAATAAACTTAACCATTTGACTGCTACGCAGCAAAAAGCGCTGCGTTCATTTGTCTCGAAAACAGCGATGCAGCGCTTCAGTGTGTCTTTGTTGCTCCGTCATGAAGTCAAAATATAATTATAATAAAATATAAGTCAACAGACAACATCAAGTCAAAACATGTCCCACAGTTTTCGTGCATTCTGGCAAGAATTACTTAGCAGTCAAACGGTTAATGAAGAGTGATTTCTTAGAAGGTTCCATAACTGCACAGGTGTTCTCAGCTAGGGGATAATTCTGTCAGCCTAACTCTGCCTGCCCCACCAGTGGCCGAGTGGTTAACACCATTGAATACTGATAATTTGACCTGGCTAGGTAAACAAGCTGAATGCATAGTTTTCCCATATATAATGTGAATATGAGACAGTTTCCCTTAGAAAATCCTCCATGTTGCTCGAGCCATATTAAAAAAAAACCTAATCTAATCAATAACTTTTCCTGCAGTGCTGTTAAAAAATAATCTGAATTTAAATAAACAAATGCATATACTTTTTGAGTTTTGGAAAGGGTCATGATCTACCAATGATGAAAGGGCTGCATGGGACAAAATAGGGTCAGAACTCTTGCATTAGTGCTTTAAGCAATAGTATAAATACAAATTACTGAACAGCCATGACTTGATTCGGTTCAGAGTCTACTGTAGACTATTTATTGCATTACTGAGCTTTTAACTCATTAATTCCATTTTGCTCTGGCGTGATTTTGTGCTTTGCAACCTTCATGCCATGTTAAAAATTCCATGTCATCTCCGAGTTCTTCTTACATTATTTTTAACTGCTCGTCTTCCCTTTAAAAATCTGCTTTTACATGTTCACTGCTATACTTATTTATTAAATTCACAAGCATATGTAAAGTTTTATGTTCATCAAATCTGGTATTTAAACATATTTCTATGACTGTATATCATGCAACAATATTTAAATAACATTACTGCAATATCTTACTCCTTACTGCAAATTAAAAATAATATAATGAATTAAATTTAATACTCAGGAAACAGAGTCCATCTCCCCTCCATATAGTTCTGTATTTAAAATGTTCTTCACAGTTAACATAGCAGTTCTGCTACTTCTTCAATTATTTATTAGATTAAATCAAACACAGTACACTAAAATTTATATATATATAAATGAAATAATAGATCTAGCATAGCATCCTGAATAAATATGAAGAGAAAGTTGTGAAAATTAAAAATAAGTAGATATAAGAAAGAATAAGTCAAATATAAAACTTCCTTCTGATCTTCTTTTTAAGATCAAAACAACAATCATCCACATAGTGCAGCAAACTGTGAGTGGTGAGAGCTGTTGCTATAATGGTAAAAGACTTTTTATTTTTTATATGTAGCAAATTAAGCAATTTAAAAACAACATAAATACTATTCGTATTACCAGTTCTTAGTAGTATATTTAATATAAAATTTTAAAAAAATATTTACACTATTTAAAAGACATTGTTATTCCACAAAATTACATACCTCAGAGAATAATCATATATGTGCCATTTTTGTAACCAGTGGATTGTGCTTTCATGCTGTTACTGCTACACTTATTTATAAAATAACATTTTGAAATAAAATTACACAAATACTTACAGATTTTTTTAAAGATATTTCAATTTCTTGATTTTTTTTAAGAAGAAATATTTACTTTGCATTTTCAGTCTCTTTAAAGCTATCAGTACTCTTCTGTTATTGGGTGGTTCTGATAGCAGAAGAGTACCAAACTATCTAAGATAGTAGTAGAAGTTAAAAATTTATGACATATGTTAAGAGTGTAGGAAGAAAAAAAAACCTGAATTATTGTAGATCAAATTACTCTGAATTTTATATTGTTAATATAATGAGAAGTTGGTTAAAAGTCCCCTCAAATGAGTATAATTTGCCATGTTAAAAGCACTTTATTCAACAATAAATTTGATATAATTAGTATAAATACAACATGATAATGATTTGTTACTTTTTAGAGATACAACAGAATGATAAAACAATAAATGATATGAAAATTATTAGATGCAGATAATTCAAAAGTACATAATATAACTTTGAAATATATTTTTTTGGACATAAAATTGGGGGAGGGGAACCTCTACTTAAAAAAAGTTCAACATTCAAGGATGTAATCACCACACAGCTTCCACATTAGTTTTCAAGTTGCATACACAATACTGATTTCAAATGGGAATGTGAAATTACATCTGTTTATTATAGAAATAATGCTACAAAATGATAATATATTATTCATTGCTTGACATGACAGAAAACTCACTTGACACATGCTAGGAAAAATTATTCCATAAAATAAAATTTTCAGCTTTTGTCTGCAGTGTTAAAGCTTGTACAGAATGAAGAGAAGGATTTATTTCATAAAATATTAAAAAAATCATAAAATGCAAAGTTAAATACGCAATTTCACACCTTAATTAAGGATACAATGATTTCTCATAGAAAAAACTTTTTAATGAATGTTACATACATATCTGTTTACTATATATTACATGTAGAATCCTAAATCATAACTTCTGAAAAAAATTGTTTCAAAACAAAAAAAAAAAAGGATTTAACAGCATAAATTTTCTTTTTTTAATTACATTTTATAAGTGACACTAAGGAACTCTATAAAAATCTTTACTTATAAGCAGTAAGATCAAATATTTAAAAAAAAATTAAAATTTATAATATTTTTAAGAAAATAATATACAGAAGCATACAAAGAATTTAAAAACCTTTATAATAAGAAATTCAGCAGCTGTTTAGTACACAAATACTTAATGAGGGAGGAAAAATTTCAATAGCAGATATGGAAAAACACAGACTATTACAAAAAAATTTTAAAATATAATCAACTGCTAATTTTGATATACTTGCATAATGAGTAACTAATCCCGTGTAACAAGATATAAATGTTAAGATATGAGAAAAGAAACGAGTTAATATTTCCTTTCTTAATCTTTTCCTTAAGAAAGAAAATATTAACTCAACCATCATATCAATGAATAAAATGAAAATATTTATGTGCTTTTAGTGACCTAAATTAAATTTAAATTGCTAATTTTTAAAAATAAACTTTCAGTTTTTGATGAAAATAGCTTTTTTTAGAATGAATGGTACTTATATATTATACCATTGACCATGAAACTGCTATCAAGAAGTGCTATTACCTTCATTTATGGATAAGTGTAACTGCACTTTTGTTTGATATAACCCTGATAAGCTACATCTCACTTTTGTGAACAAGGGTATACATTAACGGTTATTGATGTATTTTTTCCTAGCATTTTGAAGGGGGGGGGAAGACTCAAATCTGGGATTTTCCAACAACAGAATAGTAAGCGGTGGCATTTTTTTCAAAGTTATGGGATCGTAATACCTAATGTATTACGATCCCATAACTTTGAAAATTACATACATTAATAAAGTATCATTATGAAAAAAGTATGTATTAATAGAATTCCTTTCCTTCAGAAATTCACAGGAACAACTGATGAAAATTTGGCGAGATTTCCGCTAACTTTATTAGTTTGATGCTTTCACAATTGATGGGATAATATGCAAGTACTAAAAACTTTTAGCTGATCAGTGTACTAAAAGTTTCTTTACCAAAGGTTAGTGTAAGTTCTCCCTTCTTTTCAAAAACAGCTAAAAATTATTTAATTTTAAAAGTAAAATTCATAACATTAATAATAAAAATTAGTTGTTCAAGTTCAACATTTCGCTGTGTCACATTTGGAGCTTTGGCAACTGACATCCCATTAACAGAAAAGCACCAAAAAAATTAAATATAAATATTAAATACAATGTCAAAATTAATAAGATATATATTTTTTTATCATTAACAGTTCTGTGTATGGAGCACAGCTTATTTTCTACCAAATCTGCTAATGATGTGAAAGATATATAGTGTCTTACAAAAGTGTTTGCATGCTTTAAGACTTTGCAAAAAAAGCACTTTAACCTGGAATTTAATTCGAATATTAATTAAACTTTTTCATTTTTAATACCGACTTATTTTCTTTTTCTAAGACTGAAAATGTAAGGAGGCATAGAAAAAACCCGAACTAAAGTGATCGTACACCGAAACAACTTCATAAATAAAATTATCGTCTACCACTTTTTTTTTAATTAATTTTTTTCTTGTTTACTTCATTATATTTTATTTACTGTTTAAAGATGGCTCGTAGTCATAAGAAAACAACGAACAGCTTACGAAAATTGATCATTTTTTATTATAAAGATGGAAATTCAATTTGCGATATTGCTAAATTAGTAAATTTATCCCATTCTACAGTGCAGTATAATGACAAAATGCTTTAAAGAAGAAAATCGGATCAAAAATAAAGTAAGAAGACGTTGTCCGTCAAAGAGGATGCAATGCGACTCAACATAATCAGAGATTTATAGTTAAAAAAATCTAAAAAAAAAAAAAAAAACCATGTTTGAGTATTTTAGAGGTTTCTTCTGCTTCAACTTGAATTAAAATTGTCCAATGAGTATTCAGATCAGCTAGATTTACATGGATGCCCTGCTCGAAGAAAATTTTTTAGAAGTGCAAAAAGTAGAAAGCTTAGGCTTTTCCTCTCAAAATTAATAGTAAATAAGCTCGAAGTGTATTAGAATCATGTCTTACTTGCAGATGAAAGCAAATTTAACATTTTTTATTTCATTGGGCGTATAATTGTTAGGAGGGGAAAAAATGAGAAATTTAATCCGAAGACCCTGGTTGGTAAAGTACAGCATGGCGGTGGAGACGTTCTTGTGTGAAGATGCATGTCTACATCAGGATTAATCCCTTAACAGACCAGTGTGCGGAGAACTGGGCCGTGCATTTTCAGCAGTTAAGCCTAATTTTACAAAAAAAAAAAAAAAAAAAAAATCAGCATTTTGATATAATGACTTCAATTTTTGAAGTTGTATATTTAAGTTTTTAATGTGTATTAATATAAAGAATATCACATTAGTAGAAATAAATTAAACAGGCAAAATACTAATATCATAACTATACACACAGAAATAAATACTATAAACATGAAAACAAAATTACAAATACAGAATTAAAAAAAAAAAAAAAAAAACTAAGCAAGAATTACCTGTAGGTAATTAAATTCCAATTTAAAAATTCTGCTGTGTGTAAAATAATTCAAGACAAAGATCGACACACAGCCCTACACTGGAAATTTTACACTCAAAATACGTTGTTTGCTTTCGTTTTTCCTTGTTTTTAGCGCACGCAACGCATCTTTTCCTACCTTTATTACCTTTTCCATAAATGTAAATTTTCAGAAAATGTCTTCCAGTTAGCCGGAAATGTGGAGTGTCTGGTGATTTTGGACAAATTTTTAAGTTAGGTTTCTTAGCCATGGCTAACGGAATGAAACAGAATATAACCCCAACACATGTATGTCCCAGAACTTCTTCAAAAGACACCCAGAAATATTTCCTCCTCAAACCCTGTGCGACATCAGGTTTATATTAGAAAACTTCCTGTTTTTCTAGATTGAAAAACAGTGTCCACCAGATAACTGGAAAGTGATCAAGAAAAGGCCCCCATTGGCGGGATATCCATTACTGATCATGTCAATATATACATTATGTATAATTACATGACATTATATAATGACTATTAAAGGCATTATATATAATGGCCTAGTAAATTGAGTAAGAAAAACAAAAACGCTGGCTCTTTCCTGAGAAATGCGAGCGAGTAAGACTTATTACATGTCGAGAAAGCTGATGGTCTTTGCCCTACTGTAATAATGTTGTAATATTACTTTTTAATTAACCAAGAAAGGAAAGCTTATGTTAAGTTTCAAAATAAATGGAAAAAAGAACAACTGGTCTTGAGTTTTTCCATCACGGAAGTTCAGTGACCTTACACTTGCTACAGTCAGTTGAATGCACTTTCCACATAAAAAATGCAAATACCATAAACGAAAACAAGGATCTGGATGCACTTACCCACATTTTAATAACAACAAAAGCGAAAAAAAAAAAAAAGAAATTCCTAGCGACATAAATAAAAATGCCTTTAATTCAAAGGCGCACTTATAAAGAACCACAATTCCCAGTTTGTTTGTTTATACCAATAAATCTATGGAAACCAGAAGCACAAAACAGAAACTAAAGCCAGTACATGAAGGTCAAATGTCATATGAATCAACCCATGTGAAAACAGTTACCATTTATCTCCATCTAATGGCTTTTAAAAATGGAAATAAATCATTCCGTTTTCAGGTTATGTATACGCAACGCTGGGTTCCAAAGATAGATCACAGCTCTTTGCGTATACGCAATGCTGGGCTGGTAGGAGTGGAGTCGTTGCATCACTGGTCCTGAACGGGTTAAACGATTTAATATTTATTGATGGCACAATGAACCCTGCTCTTTATTTAAATGCTTCAAAAGATAATTTAAAATTATCTGCCCAAAATTTGGATAAATTTATTTTTTTTATCAGGATAATGATTCTAAGCACACGGCCCTCCCCTCAACGTTCACCTTTTGGGTATCTATAATTATCCACAAGTTCTGAAAACACCATCTAAGTCACCAGATTTAAACCCAACATAACACATCTGGAGATAATTATACGTTAAAGTACATGGACACAACACAGAAACGAAAACCGAACTAAAAACAATAATCATGCAAATAAAATAAAAAATAAAAAACAACCAACCCAAAAACTGGTGAACTCTATGTCTAGATGTTTGAAAGCTGTCATAATTGCAGTATATACTACAAAATACTAACTGACAGAAATACTACAATATTTACTAACATGTGCAGATTTCTTTAAAACATAAATAGAATTTTGTGCGGTAACTTTTGTGTTACATTTTTATTATTGATTTTCCAAAAACAAAACAAAAAAAAAAAAGTTTTAATATGTTTATAAAATGATTAATGAAGTTTTGCTAAGAGGAATTTATAGACAAAATTTTTTTGTTCTAAAATATTAATTTTTATTAATGAATAAAGCAATATATCACTGAAACTCTTTAAGTGTACGAACACTTTTGAGAGCCACTCTACATAGATAAAAAAATTATATTGTTATTCAGATACTAGTATTAAAAAATAATTTAAATAAACTGGAGTTCAGGAAAAACTTTCTACTTGTTACATGAATTTGATTCAACAATTTTCCATAATGGCTAGCCTGAATACAAAAGTCAAAGAGACTACAAAATATTAATAGGTTACCACTTTAGCAATAAACTTCATTATTATTAATATTAAATAGCTCAAATGAGTTGTTCAAGTTGAAATTGGGAGTGCAGATAATTAAAAAGTACCACTAAAATTTCTGGTTTCTTTTAATTTTTTAGTGTTTAATGGTTACCATTATTACACATTGTTAAATATACAGAGCAATTAAGAAATTGATAGTTAAAAAATTTATAAAAACTGAATGCACTAAATACAGTGGTAGAAACTTTATATGAAAATGAGTTGCAAACAGGAGGGGTTTTTCCAGGGAAATCAGATTTAATCAGCATTTTCACTGAAAGATAGTGTTCCTATAAATGGAATGCAGAATAATTTTAGGTGCAATACTGGGTGTATCAGAATTTTATTACACCATCACAGTAATACATAATTAGATCCTACATTCTTGACAATTATTGTGAGCAAATGATTTATCACGAGCCTACTCAAAAAAAGTTCAGTTATCCATCAGTACTTTTTTTTTTCAAATGCAAGGTCATAAAGTTCGGGGCAAATACAACTAAAGGCAGCAGTGGAGGACGTTAATAGATTTCTATTAATGATCATTCCTAGTATAACTAGTATTAAAAATTATGGTATGTGTTTTTTGCTGACCTTGAAAGCTGGCAGATTGTCAATCATTCTAAAAGAAATTTGAACGAACAGATTATTGTACAGCTACACTTAATTTAATATATTGGTTTCTTTTGTTTGTTGTTAAAAATGGATACTGAAAAAATACATAAGTACCAAAATTATTCATGAAAGGCAAAAAACCCAAAATACGTAAAAAAAAAAATTCACTCAGATCTGTCAGGTACAATATCTCAGGAAACTTTTCAAGCAATTCATGAAAACACGATCAAAGTTATTTTTTAAACTTTAAGGAAAAGAATCTTATTATTTTATTTCTTAAAGATGCTTCATAATAGAGAGCATAAAATACATTTATAAAGGCTAGTTAAGGTGCTCTCACAATTCTTAGTTAATCAGTATACTGCAATATACTGATAAACTTAAATAACTTTTAATACTAGGTCAGATTAGAATCTAAAATAATCATTATAAAATGTACATCATAAAACTAGCAAGTTTGATTGCAACATGAAAATATGCTCAAGGACATCATTTTGTTGGGGGGGGGTGATGAACTTGAGATTATTAAAAAAAATTACATTGATATAAAACAGATAATTTAAAAAAAAATTTTAATAAAATAATTGATAACATTACTTACTGGGGTTTAATCCTAGTATCCGGTGCACATGGGATTTGGCTACTTTATGATGAGCAGTAAAATCGGGAGATATATGATGAATAATAAACAAGTCATTCAAAGAATACATACTATACACTATATACTACGTATATATACATAGACGTTCTTCGGGTCATTTTTGGTGTTGCGATAATTTTCAAAATCGCACCAGGGCTGCACCGTATACTAGGATTTTACCCTTACTGAAATCAACTTTTTCAGTATAAAATGTATATACACAATTTATGTACATCAATGTAAATTCCCTTTCACCTAGAATTTCTGCTTTATCCATCATTAAACTGCGATTACCTTCAAGTCAAAATGCAGAACATCCTTTCCACTTAAGTGAAGAAATTACAGATATGTGGACAAGTTTCTTCACATTTATAGGTAATATAAAATGAAACTGCAAACCATTGATTTAATAGCTATTAATAATCCATTTACCAATCGAAGAGGCACCCAATTCTACACTAAAGCCAAAAATTTTTCCATAATTCAAATAATTTCATTTTAAATAAGAGAAGAACATAATTTAATTCTGGAAAAATTATTTCAGAAGTAATGCAGTACAGATCCCTCATCTGAATTCTTATGCTAAATACTACAAACATTTGTTTTTGAAATCTATTGAATATTAAATATTTCACATACTATAAAAGGAAATATTTTGTTACACAAAATGAAATTGAAAAATAAAAACTTATAAATTTCAGTCATTCATAAGATGATTTCTTTTCATGATTAGTCATTTAAACAACTCTATTCGATGACCAAATTTTCATCAATCAATTTTAAATTGTTGCTGATATATTTTTCTATTTATTTCAGCCAGTATTATACTAAACTGATGCTCTTTTTCTTTCGACAAGTTGGAAAACATATCATCATCATCATCCTTTTCAGAAGTTTTTTCTGTTTTATCTGCATTGGAAAAGTTCTTTTTCGGTCTGCCTCTTTTTCTATGTTTCGTATTCAGGGTTGAGGGCCTCGGAGGGTTTACAACTTCGCTTCCTTCTTCACTATTCGATCCCTCACCTTCCTTTTCATTTGCATTGGAATTATTTTCAGACTTTTTACGCGTCTTTTGCAAACTTTTCATTTTTTTAAGCTCATTTTCAATTTGTAAGGAATTAAAATAGTCTGGTCTTTCCCTCTTCGTGCGCTCTGTTCGTCGTCTTTTAATTTCACCGTCATCCGTACGGCCAGTTTTATGAATACTAACAGGTCGTCTAGTCACGAAGAATACATGTCCACACGGACAAGCTTTACAAGCTACAGGTACATGCTGTTGACATTTTGGACACTGTTTAGTAACCATTATTACTTAATGGCTACATAAATGCAACAAATATTAATGACAATTCAAATACATAGAAATAATCTTTAACTCACTTCATGATAGTAATTGTGCTGCCACTTAGTTGATATAAAATATTTAATGAGAATTCTCGCAAAGACAGATAGCAAAACATTTTCCAGAATAAAATAATAAGAAAATCCCGCAATTATTTTTAAAAAATTATAATTTAGTGAAAATGACACAATATGATTATCTTCTTCAAAATATTTGTTTGATATTCATAGCTGGTATCATTTTTTTAAAGCTAGCTTAGGTTAAAATAAATTACAATTTAATATGAATCTAAATTTTAAGCTGGTTAATTGTTTATATTTAAATATATTAGCAAAATTAACATGTTAACATATTAATATGACTTTTGAGTATTTGTTGAAGTGGAATCACCATTGTGATATTGTGAAATAAATTTTAAGTTCTGAATGGCTTGAAGCGTTCAATGTGAAGTCATTGAACGGTTGGCTCTGTTTAAGGTAAACAAATGCTTTATTGTGATGTGTTGTAATAATCGTGTTGAATGAATTTGAAGAACTTTATCTGAAACAAATTAACAGGTTTAAGGAGTGAAGACGAAAATATAGTTAACTAATAATAGGGTTTTAAATAGACCGTGTGTTTGAAAAATTCCGTCTGCCCAGCTATAACGATAGTGAAATACGGAAAGTGCATCTTAATTTTTATGTTTCTAAATTAAGATTTGTTTAATTTTCTTAAAACGTTGACTTTTCAACAGTGCAATAGCAAAATAAAGTTTTATATAATTGTGTATTTTCATGGATCGAGAAACGTGTATTTTATAAATTATACATTCTTCGATTATTATTCCTAAATGTTTATTAGGAGGTTAACTTGAACTTACTTAAACACAACATAACCTAAGTATGTATTGGAGATTAGCTTATGTACGAGTAAAGTGGTGAAATTTTCAGTGCGTTATAGTTTTGGCTTTGTAATATGGTGTTTTAAAATCAAATATAGAGACAAGTAGGTATTCCTTTGATAAATAAATGGATTATCATAAATGTTTTTCTTATTAAAATACTCTGGTTTTACATGCATCTCATTTTTGCATGATATTTTTAGGAATGGTTTAATGGGAAGCAGTAATCTTGCTATAAATTTCATTATACTTTCTCTAAAGTTAATACTTTATAGATACATGCTTTACTGATATTTACTTTTGTAGAGACACAGTATTTCTTCTTCATTTACAAAGTTCAAATTCTATACTGTAGTTACTAGTAAGTACTGTGTTGAGAATTCCCACTAAATTGTCAATCAAATTTTTTTCATTCTCAACAACCTTTCTGTATCTGTTGATTGATTTTTAGAGCATTACTATTCCATTGGAATATTTCTGCTATATCACCTTCATTTATTGCTATTTCTCTGCATTTCTTCACAAATTCCATTAATTGGAAAATTTTGCATTTTGTTCGTGATATCCGGAAACCTTAAAATTTGTGGCTATCATCATAAAGCTTGGTTTGTATTCACTATACATTCTTCACGATGTATCATGAGATTGATAACTGAAGACATGTTGTTCCATTAAAATCAGTCTTGTTCTTATCACACACTGACAGAAATTAAACCTGAATAATATTAGTTTTGTTATTTATTATAGATAATCTATTTCTCGCATGTGTTCAAGGCTTAGGTGTGTCCTAATGAAGTAAATTCCCATGTGTACTAAAGACAGTATTTTGCCATCGTGTACCTGATATGCATTCCAGTGGGGTTTTTTAATTCTAAACAATTTCTAGTTATAGTTTATAGATGGCAAACACACACATATGCTGCGTGGCAGTTGATGATTTCACCTGTGCCATAAAGGGTGACAGGTACATAATGGAAAAGTACCCTTAAAGCTTATTGGAATAATAAATTTGTGTACTATTTGGTTTTGAGGGCCGTGAAAAATCGCCGAACTATTGCTGCCCAAAATAATTGTGGCAACCTTAGCGCGAGAAAGGAAGTATAATTGTAAATAACTATCTAAGGTTGATGTTTTAATTTAGATGAAAAGTTAATTTCATATAATACTTTTTTATTATAATTTATATAAAAAAAGGCTAAACATGATTGAATGAAAGCGTAAGAGTAGATAACTATTTCAGATCATTATTATAATTTATGTAAAAATTGCTAAACATAACTGAATGGATGCCTGCATCGCTATCTCGGTAGCGAATAAAAGCATAATTTCATAAAAAAATAATTTCAAAACATAATTTCATAATAAAGCATTGGTTGTTCAAACATAATTTTCTGTAATGAATGATGCCTTTTCAATGAAAAAATTCTCGGTAAACTGCAAAATCGCCGACTTATTTGTTTGCCTCTTTTTATAAGGGTAAAAACAATTAGATTTTTGTCAATTTTCTTTTACTTTTTAAGTGAAAACAGGTCGATGTGTACATAAATAAAGTCAAGGGTGTGTGCAGTGCCATTTTTTTGCAATTCTGAGATTTTTTTTGAAGTGAAAATAGGTCGATGTGTACATGGATACAGAGTATGTGCAATTCTTAAAAACGCATCAAGCAGTGGGTAATTCTGCACTTTACCCAAAATTCTATTGCAGACTTTTCTTCATGGACAATTCCCAAATTGTTAAATCCATAGGATATCAAAAATTATTTAAAAATTAAACTAGTATTTCAATGGTGTCTTAAGAAATATAGAACTATATAAACTTACGCAATCTGAAATCAACGTGTATGCTAGATTTTGCATGCTGTTAAATGGGCGTGTTTGCTAGATTTGGTGCTTTTGCGCATACATTTTCACTGCAATTTTTTTACGGTCCTCAAAATGGAATAGTACCTAAATTTTGTATTTGTAATTTGGTAAATTTGGTATAAAATCAATTTTTATAAATTTCTATTAAATTTCTCCTCGTCAGTACATTTAACACTTTGCAGCACAATTGGCTTACGTTTGTAATTGTTGTTAAGCGTAATGTCAACATAAAAGGTTACCATGCTATTTGGTATTCAGCTACTGATATTTAAAACAAAAATTGTTTTAGATATCGCTGCATGAGTCATTTCTTAAGCTGCCATGAGTTGACAGTTATGTGGTATTAAAAGCGAAAAATAATAAATTATTCCCCAGGTTGGTGTAAAAATTAGCGATAAACTTCGATAAAGTATTTGGATTTCAGATGTATGCCGAACAATAAGGTGGCGGTGAAGCGAAATTATTAATAATCACTTTTGAATGTATTTTTCTTCAACATAGAAGTGTTTTATTTAGGGCCAAAGTGAAATTAAGATTCAGGACCCTCCACATGTTTTATTAGAAAAAAGTCTACTGCACATGCGTGAAGCATTCGCTATATGCTGCTGTTGGAATCCAATTCTTTTTGGTAGGTCCGAATATTAAATCTTTCCGGATACTAAACGCGTAGATTTCGGACTTTATACTGTATAGGCTTCCCCCCTCCTTGAAGGAAATTCCCCAGCTGCTTTTTATTGTAAAAATGCAATGCACAATACATTTAAATACGTTCAATGTGTGTTAAGTCTACTGTTTACGTTATCAGTAAGGTTTCTGATCGATGCCACCTACTAATTATAGTTTTTGAGAAATTATACACACTTTTGGAACTGCTTGATGTATATCACTATTAATCCTCCTCTATTTCAAGGATTACTGTCTGCATATCTGTATATGAATAAAGAAATCAGTTTTAAAGTAATTTGGCCCAAATTGTACCTGATGAGAGCAAGAAATATTAAGTGCATTTGAAATTATTTTAATTGTATAAATTCAAATGTAAGATTTGTTCCATTCTAAAGATGTTCTTCAAAAAATCATGCTTCTCTTAAAGCAGCCTAGCATTTAAAAAATACATTAAAAATTTAAAAAAAACGTATTTTCTTAGTTTTACTATAAGATATGACATTTAGACCAAATGATTTTGGTATTTCAAATGCATCATCTTGTCAGTAAAATCATTCCATCTCTCCTTTTCTGTAAAATATATTAAAAAGGGATGATCTTATCAGCAAAATGGCCTTTTATTTCGACTGATATGATACACCAGAACCTTTTGCTTCTGTCATTTGCTTGTAAGGTAAAAATATATTTATGGGTTCCCCTTGGCGAAAATTGGCGGTACATAGATAACGATTTTGTGCAGTTCTTTGACCTTGTTATTTTGGCTTTGTGTGGCGGCGATTTTTGTGCCAAAAAATTGCTGCTACACAAAGCCAAAACAGCAAGTCAAAGAATTGCACAAACTTGGTGTCCATGTACACATCAACCTATTTTCTCTTAAAAAACATCAGAGAATTGCACAAACTTGGCATTGTGCACTCCCTTGACTCTGTACACATTGATTTATTTTCACTTAAAAAGTCAAAGGAGCAGCCAATTCTATTCTAGAGCCAAACAAAAAATATTTAATCTCAAATTACATTTTAAATCAAACTTTGAAATAACATAAAAAAAGAAAATCATCTTAGCACTACACAAAGGATATATCGACTTACCTTATTTAGAAATTTCTGTGTCTTCACTCAAACAAAATTCGGAACTTTTCCGTTTCACCGGCGCAAATCTCGCCAAGTAGACTTTATTGGCGACAACATACAGTATACTCATAAAAAATTTTAACAAATGTTAGTTCTTAAGAGTTTTTTATTTTAAAGGCATAAACATTTTAATATTGTTTAAAATTTTGTAAAAAGGCCAATAAACAAAGACAATAAATTTATAAAAAGACATTAATTTAAGAATTTACTATGCTTTTATGGTTCAACATCCTGATTCGCCAGATCTGATCCTTATCTCATCTCGCATTGACTACGCTACAAAAATCTAATTCTCTCAATTATCTACATTAATTTCAAGTTAAATCTTAGTTTGGAATACGAGTTTAAATGAAAGAATTACAGTCAAAAGTCGTTAATTCGGACACCCATAATCCGGAATGATCTATAATCCGGACCTCAAAGCTAAAAACTTTCTGCGCATGCGCCGCGTTGATACATGCGGATAGGCGTTTACGCGTGTGCGTAAGACCTTTTAAGTCTGCGCATATGCATGTGCGCAAGTGCAGAATACGTTTTCGCGTGCGCGTTTTATGTATAACGGACGGAATAAGCTAAAATTATCTAATTATCTATTTCAGTTAATGTTGATGATTGCGTTGTTCCTTAATTTTCGAATTGGATCCGGCTTATTATTTTTTGCAGACTGTAAGAGCAGTACTATAAAAGTAAACTTGAACTTTCGATTATATCAAATAGAATTTTTGATGCTGGAGCTCCCAAACGATCTACAAAACGAAAGTATGTTTCGATGTCCATCAAACAAAAAGTGGAATTGCTGCAAAAAATGGATAAAGACATGAAGAAGGTGACAGAGAGGCTAGTGAAAACGAAAAAATTTCGATTGACAAGTTAGTCGGTATTCTCGGCACAGCAATTACGGGACTTGAACAGCGGAACTTCGTAACTGAACAAGAAATTATGTCTGTTTATAGAATTAAAGAGAAAGTATTATCACATAAACGAAGCAGCAACTTAAACAACTTACATTGAAAGAAATGTTTAATAAAGTAAACAAATAAATATTAAGTTTTTTTTTTTTTTTTGTAAATTTTGATACCCTTTAGATCATAATTGTTCTTTATTTCATAAATTACGGTTTCATATTTTTAATTTTAGAATTTCTGCATGCCATCTTACGAGATTTAAACTGATGATCTATAATCCGGAATCGCCGAAGTCCCGACGAGTCCGGATTAACGACTTTTGACTGTATTTCAATTTTTATAAACAGGTTTTTCAGAAATTATGTAAAACCTCAGTGCTTTACTTCGCTAGAGCCTTCTCATTAGAATTGATGAATTTAAGCCTTCACTTTGCCTTTTCTATATTTTCGCCTTCGGTGAGCAGTGTGATTGCATTGTAATTGACTTAATTACTGCGAATGACCTTAGAACATGAAATTGAACTATCTGGTAAAAATTCTATGTAATTGTATGCCAGTATTGAAAGAAACAATCAATCTGATAAGAAATGGCTGTGACTTGTTTTGAAAATGAGGTGTAAGAACCACTACCAGCGAAGATATTCCGTTTGCCATCAATTGGTGGCGACTTTATCACCTGCGCCAGCAAAACAGAAAAGCAGCCAAAATTCCTTAACAGCATCCAAAAACTTCCTAAAATTATCTGAACTAGAATCTGTATACTGGAGTCGCTACATAAATTCACAAAAATAAGAGTAAAAAATATTCTTCGACCATATGTATTTCCTTCTTATAAAAAGGACACTTATAATGGTTACTAAGTAAACCTCATTTACACACCAGTCAATTAATCCTTTTTTTTTCCCCTTTCATTCCAAATTGTACAAAAACTTCAAATTAATCTTACCACATCAACTGCCATTTTACTCTATAAACCACAAAATAACCACCCTACTTCCTAAGCAACATCCGACACACAAACAAATTTTTAAATCTTTTTTTTAAATTTCTTTTCTTTTTTCTTTTTTTAAAAAATCTTTTCCCATCATTCAAATTCACCACAACCATGCAACCAATTACATCATAATAGGGTTTCCATAACATTCAACTATTCAGGTTATAAGGTATTTCTCCCACTTCCCTAGCGTGCCTTTGTGGTGTAGTGGTTCTGCACACTGAACCTGTATCTCAGAGGTCCGTGGTTCGATTCCCGGCGAAGGCGGTTGCATATTTTTCATCTTTTCTGCTTCCAATTACACTAATAATTCTACATACAAGGTTACCATAAATGAAACAACAACTTTGTGATAATCCAAAGGGCACCCTTCAATATACCATAACCACTGTAATATTTGACATTTCAATTCAGCTGTAGATATTATTCTTAAATACTTTGATTTTTGGTTTATTGCAGGATTGTTATTGTTCTTAAACAGTTTCATGGTTCCGGATATTTATTTACTTTCACTTGGTGACAAAATAAAAGGTAATTGTTGTATGTTAAATTAGAGTTTTTGTAAAAATACATATTTTTAGAAATACCTGTTAATACATATGTATTAAATACTTTTTTTTTTGAAATCTAACGAAAGATTAGACTGATGAAAATATCAGTTACAAATCAAGTATGGGAGTTCATTGTCAAGTATCAAGTTCATATTTATGCATGTTTTTATTTTAGGTATTTGTTACAAAAAATTGCAGTAAAAATGTGGCCTATGTATGTGGATTATTCGGATGATGAATGTAGGAGAGTTTTACGGAGTTTAGGTTGGTAATTTACCTAATTATTGTCTTTTTTTTTAAATTTGTAACAAATGTATGTAGTAAAATAATCTAGTATTTTACTACATACATTTTAATACTTAATACTTATATAGTAAAATATTTATGAATTTTGTGTTAATTATTATTACCTTAATTACCTTTTTATTTTGCATGGAAAGAATTAGAAGCTTATGCAGCTGTTGTCAATGCTTTTCGAGCTCAAGGTGCATTGACCAAAGAAAGAAAGAAATTGCTGCAAGATTTGTGTTTTGCATTAAGGTTAGTGATTAAAATGTTATTTTTTTTATTTTAATTACGTAGTATATTTCTTTTTGAATGAATGAACTTTTTTGTGTTGTAAAATATGTAACTGATCTGAATTTTTTAAAACAGTGCCTTATATATATTTGGTGGTCGTATGTGCTTAATGCATGATATAATTAAAGAAAATAAGAGTAGACAATCTCCTATAACAAAAGAATATATTAAGTACTAAATTACAATTTAAATTACATTGCAGAGATCAACACAGAGCTCGGAACACAGTTCGTGCTAGCGTCGCGTACACTTGTCCGACGAGAAGTCTGAGTGAGTAAAAATGTCGCTTTGCTGCTCCGATTAAGAACTGGATTTTACACGTGGCGCCATCTCATGAATAGAAGTTGAAGTATCTGTCGGAACGCCACAGTACTCCCCCCCCAAGTACCATCGGTACGTTATAAGTACTTTGGGTTAAATTTAACCTTTCTTCCAGATCTGGTAGTTTTAGGTTGCTCTTTAACGGGATGTAAGCTTTCTTCCGGGAGTGATGTTGATGAGGAAGTTGTTGGATCTTGCATTAGAAATGCTGGTTTGAGACGATCGATTCCAATCACTGATTGTTTGCCATTGCAGATGATGGTGAAATGTTTCGGTGTTCGTTTGACAACTTTGAATGGACCATCATATGAAGGTGTTAAAGTTGGCTTAATTGCATCGTTGCGCACGAATACGTGCGAAGATGTCTCAAGCGCAGGATGTACAAAATAGCTTGGCTGGTTATGCGAAGATGCTGGGGTTGGCGAGATATTGCTCATGGTCTCACGTAAACGTTGAAGGAATGTTGGAGGGTCGATAACTGGAGTAGATTCTGGGTGAAAGAATTCACCTGGCAGACGGAGGGTTGCACCATATAACATTTCAGCACAAGTGCTACCAATGTCTTCTTTGAATGCTGTGCGAAGACCAAGCAAGACTAGGGGTAAGGCTTCTGTCCAGTGTGTGCTACTGTGGCACTTCAGACCTTGTTTGAGAGATCGGGTGAAAGCGTTCCACCATCCCATTTCCAGATGGATGGTATGGTGTTGTGCGAATATGGCGAATGCCAAGAAGAGAGGTGAGGGATGCGAACAAGTGACATTGAAATTGTCGGCCTTGGTCAGTAGTGATGGTGGTAGGCATGCCAAATCTTGAAAGCCACTGGGAGATGAATGCTCGAGCTACAGTTTCAGCGGATATATTTTCAATAGGAATGGCTTCAGGCCATCTTGTGTACCGATCAATACAAGTGAGGAGGTAAGTGTAACCATTTGAAGGAGAGGCAATGGGCCAACCAAGTCTAAGTGCACATGATCAAAGCGTCTTGCTGGAAGGTTAAATTGTTGAATGGGGCTGTGAGTGTGACGGGATACTTTACACCGTTGACATCTAATACATGAACGAGTCCATTCTGTGATGTCTTGATTCATTGCTGGCCAGACAAATCTGTCTGCGATCAGCTTTTTGGTGGCACGGATTCCAGGATGTGCCAAATTGTGCAAGGCATTAAACACTTCACGTCTAAAATTGACAGGAATATAGGGACGTATTCTATTGTTCTCTATGTCACAGTAAATTTTAAGCGTTGGATCAATGTGCAGCGGTTGTAACTGAAGGGAGGTTTGTGGATTTGAGATTAGGTTCTTGAGTTCCTCATCATGCAATTGAGCTTTTGCAATTTCAGAGAAAATCTGGGGGTAGTGAGGTTGATATTGTTTACCCGAGACAAGGCATCAGCGACACAATTATCAGTACCAGAGACATATCTGATATCTGTACTAAACTGGGCGATGAAATCCAGATGTCGAAGCTGACGAGGAGAACATGAGTCAGAGTTTTTTCTAAAAGCGAAGGTTAATGGTCGATGATCGGTGAAAATGATGAAGTCGTGTCCTTCCAAGTTGTGCCGGAAGTATTTAACAGCACAGTACACAGCAAGTAGCTCCTCTGTCATATGTGCTGTATTTCCTTTCTGCAGTAGTAAGTTTTCTGGAAAAGAATGCCATTGGGGAAAGTCCTTTAGTGGTATGGGCTTGAAGCACTGCTCCTATGCCCGTGTCAGATGCATCTACCATTATAGAGAGCTGATCACTGAGTGAGTGATAAAAGTGGGCTGCATTTGCAGATTGTGGCGATTGCACATTGCTGCATTGCACGAATGTGGTTGCATTGCACAGATGCAGATTCAGATTCAGCCAAGGACAGACGTTTTGATTTCGTTTTTTTTGCTATTCTTCAGAAACTCATGTAGGCAGGCTTGTGTTTTTGCGGCATTTGGCAGAAAGCGTCGGTAGAAATTTAACATTGCTAGAAAACGCTTCAGTTCAGAGATGGTTTTGGGCTGAGGTAGGTCGTTAATTGCTTTGACTCTTTCCGGTAAAGGTTTTGACTCCATTCTGGGTGATAAGACATCCAAGAAAGGAAACTGAGGGTTGACCAAGTACACATTTGGATGGATTTAGTTTTAATCCATGATCTTTAAGGCGAGTGAAAATCTGACGCAGATGTTGAAAATGTTCTTCCGCATCTGTAGATGCAACCAGGATATCATCAAAATATGGGATGCAGAAATCGAGGCCAGACAGTACTTGGTGTATGAAACGCTGAAATGTTTGGCCAGCATTGCGAAGGCCAAATGGCATATATAAGTACTCAAAGAGACCAAATGGTGTAGTCACTGCGGTCTTGGGCACATCTTCAGCATGCACTGGGATCTGATGATATGCTCTGGCAAGATCGAGGGTAGAAAAATATGTTTGTTCCATGAAAAAGATGGGTACAGTCTTGGATATGTGGGACTGGATATCTGTCAGGGACTGTGACGGCATTAAGTCGACGATAATCTCCACAAGGCCGCCAGTCACCATTAGACTTTTTAACCATGTGAAGTGGACTGGCCCATGGACTTTTAGATGGGCGAATGGTTCCCTGTGCTAGCATGAATTCAAATTCTTTGCGAGCAGCTTTTAGCATCTCTGGAGAAAGACGACGAGGCTTGGAAAATACAGGTGGGCCATGTGTTTCAATGTGATGATACACTTCTGGCTGATGAGTATGCTGCCCTGATTTGGATGGGTTTAAAATGTCAGGGAATTCTGCTAATAAATAACCGATGATGAAACCGTGTGCTGCCCGATATAAAACACTTATGTTGGTAGGTACGTTCGATATGTGAGAAGCTTGGCCCTGTGATGTCAGCTGAGTTGTAGCATCAATTAAGCAATTATTCTTGACATCCACTAGAAGGTGGAAATGTGTCAAGAAGTCGACACCAATAATTGCTTGAGTTACATCCGCAATAATAAAAGGCCAGTTGAAAGTCCGGCGCAAGTTTAAATCAAGTGTCAATAGTTTGGTGCCGTAGGTTGCAATTTGGGTACCATTGGCTGCATACAGTACAAGTTTATTAAGTTGGTGAGCATTTGTTTTAGTTCTCGGGAGCACTGATATGTCAGCTCCAGTATCTACTAGAAAACATAACTGAGTTGAACGATCAGCCAGTACTATTCTGTCGATGTGGCGGACATTCTGTTGGCCAGCAGAAGACCGCCCATTTAGTTTCCCGCTTGTTCAAAAGTGCATGGAGGGGCACACTTGCGAGCTTGTTGAGAGCCAAAAATTCATATGATAAAAACATATGCCACTTGTGGGTTCTTTGTACTGCGTTCGAGTATTGTGACGAGATTCGACTCCTGCTTCGGGCACGAAATTTATTACGTGGGCCCTGATTTGATCGATTGTATCTCCGTGAAGCATGAAGACTTGTAGAGAGTTCAGATACTTTTTTGGTCAATTCAGCCACTTGTTGTTCGAGGGATGAACTGGAAGGTGCAGCATTAGCAGCACTGACATAAGCTGGAGTAACAAGTTCATTAATTTTGTCAGCCATTGCTGCTAAACGGGTTAGATCTTCATTGGAAGCAGCAAGAATTATTTGTATGTTATTAGGGAGACGCGAAAGCCATAGTGACTTCAACAAGTCGTCACTAAAATGGCTTCCTGCCAGATCACGCATTCGTGACAGCAAGTATGAAGGTCGCTGATCTCCAAGTTCAAGTCCTTGTAGTAAAGTACGTATTTTTGAAGATTCACTTTCTGAATAGATTTCAATGAGCCGCTGTTTCAGTTTGGAGTATTTATCACAATCAGGTGGTTTGAGAATTAAGTCATGCACTGAATTCAGAATATCAGACTCAATTGCTGCAACTACATGGTTGAATTTTGTAGAATCCTCACTAATGCGAGCGATAGAAAATTGTGCTTCGATCTGAGCGAACCACAATGAAGGATTATTTTTCCAGAAGAAAGGCGGTGGCTTCACCGCAACGCGTGTGATTTGTGGCTCTGGTGGAATATCGTCGGGCATACTGATAGATAATTTTCACTTTAATTAATAAACACTTAACAGCACAAATATTGTAGCATGAGGATACACTATTGATATTTTACCATGATAACAATAAATATTTTAACCATGCAGAAAAAATTTACGTAACGATACACACACAAATAATACAGGGTCAGCAATTACACACACAAATAATATTTTACCGAAATGCATTTGAAAAGAAACCCCTATTTGAGAAAAAAAAAAAATGATGCGTTCATTTTGTATTGCGCACACACAAAATCACCACTTCACACACTGCTAAGGCACTTTCGAAGGAAAAAAAGGAAATCACTCCTGTAGCACATGGGAAAAAAATTCACTACTTTCGAACACTGAGGGAAGAATTTTGCCGTAGCACGTTGCACAAAATTACTGATGTAGCACATTTAGCGAAAATCACTGTTGTAGCACATTTGTCACAAAAGTTGAATGATCGAAGAATTATTGCACGACTGGCGAAGTCAGCGGAACGGAACAGATCACATTGATGATTTGCTGAAGCTCCTTGCGATGATATGCACGACTTTGAAAAAAAAAACACAAGCAATATATATCAATACTTCTAGAAATAATTGGAGGGGGTACGTTGTAG